AAAAACACTCCCCTCAAAACCTCAAAGAAAAAGAGAAAGAAAAAAAAAATAAAAAAAATCACACAACTAGAAGCAATCCCATAAAATGCTTAAATCCCGTTCTAGATGCAAATACCATATTCCTGTAATCTTCATACTCATAGAAAGCTTTTTATGCTCACTGCCTGGAACTCCTTCATTTCATTTTAAAAATTTTTTCATTGAATTCTGCCTCCTACATTCTCCATGCAGTCTCTCAAAAGTCTCATCTGTAACATGCTTTTATGACACCACACTGTCATCTACTTCCATTCAAGACTACCTCCCTTCCACCAAATCTCAGTATCTAATAACCTCTCAGACTTCCAGCAGCCAGCTGGAGATCACAGTTCTTACTTTCCTTCCACACCCAAAAGCTCTTTCTCAATTAGCAGATTTGTTTCTTTCCACACCACAGCCACTTACATTCCTAGCCCAAAGAAGTTCTGAACTAATAACTCCCTAAATTCTGCCACAATTTGGATAAGCTTCATCAATTTGTTCTGCAAAACAACTTTTCATCTTAGGTAGACTTTTATCATCTTTCATTATTTCAGCACCCTTCTCTCTGGCCTAGAACAAAACAGAACAAACCCAGCTGCACCGACTTTTCCTGGTCACATCTGTGTGGAATGCTTCTCCAAAGGACATGTAACTTCTCAGTGGCTTGGGTCAGCTGACAAAGAATGAAGTACACATATACATCTCTCTGCATTATAGGGGGAAAAACCTACCCCCCCCAGAGAAGAGCAAACAATCTGTTGCTTCTTCTAGGAGGTTGTTCAGAGAAAAACTTCTCTTTATCCCTTTCCAGGCCAGCTACAAGGAAAAAAAAAATCTTCTGACACTACTCATTCCTTGAATCCCCTCCAGCTAACCAGGACAGTTATCTGGTTTTGCTTTCAAAAAAGTTACATTTGAACTCTGCCCTGTAGCCAGCTGAATCAAAATGCTGACTTCAAACTGCTAATTGATCATCATCTGTAGGCTCTAGCACATACTGGCCAGGCTTTCCTACATTAGGAAGAGGTTTGTCCAGTGCTCTGCATTATGACACACGTGAGGAAACTTCCCATCAGATACACTGCCTCTCCACCAAAATCACTTACACTGAACAACATGGTCTCATTTCTCTTTACTCCATCAGCTTCCCCAAACTGTGTTTCTAATTGGAGTCAACTCCAACAGATGTATTTCCTTGATCCTACACGCAATCAATACTAATAATAAACAAAACATGTAGACAACTCTCAAGTAACAAGGCAGTTGCTAGTCAAAAATGTAAGATATGTAAGCAACCCCCCCCATTTCCTGCATTTTTAACAGCTCTAAACAAATAGCAGAAGGCTGTCGTAGTACTTTGGACTGCTTCAGAGTATGATCAAAGATAAATAATGAGGTTGGCTCTCCATTACCAACTCAATTCCAGTGACTTTAAGTCAGTTTAAGAACTGTCATGGCATTCCCAGACAAAAATAAACATAGAGTCCTTAGGATCTGACAACATTTCTCTCCTGCTGAAGTGAAGCTGTGATTGGAAGTAAAAACTGAAAATATTATTGGGATATTAACAAGGTTTTCTTTCAGAAGTGGATATTAATTGAAAGCAGCTAAAGTCGGGGTGGGGAGAAGATTGCTGCAACTCTGCAACTTCAACAGTATCTCCTTTCCTGGGTACAGTTTTGATTGTCAAACCCGTTATCCTTATTTCACAGCCACATGGAATGGGGACTTGGAAAAGGCTCTGATGGCAGGTACCACATATTTTCACAAAGAATCTCCTTCCTGCTTCAACCTCTCACAAGCTACTTTGTGTATCCGAACACCCTAAACTACCATCACAGCAAATGGCTCAGTCAATGGGCACAAGTGAGACAAAACAGGTCTGCTTTTGAAGCCAGAGGTTATGAAGGAAGACTAAGACATGTGCAACACTCCTCTATCCATTGAGAGAATGAAGGAAGTCTGCTACAGCACGTAATCTCAGTGTTCACTGAAAAATACTGGGTGCTTTTTTAGGCTGGTAACCCATCATCTGACTGTTGGCCATTAAAACTGCACTGTAAATCACGGAATCTTATATTGTGCCACCCAAAAATGCACATAGCACTCGAGGTGAGGCTGCACTGAGTAGAGGGGGAGAATCATCTCTCTCGACCAGCTAGCGATGCTGAGCCTGATGCACCCAAGGATACAGTGAGCTGCTGCAATTCCTTCTGAATTGTGTTTGCTTCTGGCATTTCCTTAATTTTCAACAGACTACACATAGGATCAATAAATATTGAAAACAAAGTCACATACATTAAGAGTCGCCGTACAAGAAATTCTTGACTTTCTCAATAACATGAGCACTGAACTTCAGCTCCAAGGCCAACAACCCCAACACTCAGAGTGTTCCTATAAGCACCATTTCCCAGCTCTAAAACAGAGATAATTTACCAGTGTATTAAAAAAAAAAAAAAGTTCAACTTAATAACACAACTAGATCCAAGCAGTATGTAAAACTGAAGTAAAAAGAAGTCAGCTCTCTCCTTGAACCAAAGCCAAACCATTAATTTGCAGTATCTGCTGACCAGACCTTACCTCATTGCAGTCTACACCTTCCTTGTGAGGGGAAGAGGAGGGGCAGGCACTGATCTCTTCTCTGTGGTGACCAGTGACAGGACCCAAGGGAATGGCCTGAAGTTGTGTTAGGGGAGGTTTAGGTTGGATATTAGGAAAAGGTTCTTTCCCCCGAGGGTGGTTGGGCACAGGAACAGGCTCCCAAGGGAAGTGGTCACAACACCAAGCCTGACAGAGTTCAAGAAGTGTTTGGATGATATTCCTGGTACATGGTGTGACTCTTGGGGATGACCCTGTGCAGGGCTAAGGGTTGGACTGGATGATCCTTGTGGGTCCCTCCCAACAGCATATTCTGTGATTCTGTGATATATGTCCAACTGCTTATTTAGAATAACAATTTCAACCAAAACCAAGTCCCAGCAGAACTGGAGTTGACCTGGACCTTGCTATACAGCATACGAAGCTGAATCCTGTCAACTTGAGCTTCCAGCCAGTGATCCCACAAGTAAGATCATGCCTCCCCACATCTGCAGGCATCTGTCTGTTCCTTTATGCACATGTACCTACAGACATATCACATTTGAGATGAAAGGAACCTTGATTACACCAGTAGCCTCTCTCCTCCTTTTCTGTTGGTACCACTTTTTGTTTTTTTCAAATCACAGCCCAAGCTTGCAGATTTTCCTGAAGCTTTACTCTTATGTTCCACAGTTATCAAGCTGGAAACAAGCTACAGGGCTAGACTTGTAAGGGAAATAGAGTTTAGCCTCCAGTACAAAGCTGGGGACAGAAGCAAGAGCCTCTCCCTGTTAAATGACATTTGCTTCCCATAACCGGGAAAGAACATCTGGATTCAGTGCAGGAAAAAAACCCAGGATTGAGAAGGAGGTAGAAACGAGGACAGATAAAGTAGAATGAGAATACTGCAGATGGTGGGAACAGAATATGAGTAGAATTATACTATGTGGCTTAGAGAGGAGGACAAGAAAATACATAGGAGAGAAAGAAAAGGTAATGCACAGAACAACGCAGGATATATATAAAAATGTGATATATTGTGACCCAATGCAGGAGAGAAGCAAAACCAACTTGTGAGCCCCATGTCAAGGGCTGCAGCTCCAACATCCAGACAGGGTGGGACATATGAAGAAACCAAAATCCAGTACCTTCTCTTCAGATTTCACTATGTGGGTAGTACTATGTGCCTAGACTTCAACAGGCAGACAAAAAAATCACCTGGCTTAACACTGTACATCTGCCCAGTGGTCACAGTTTACATTAAACTCCCATTCTCTAGGTCCAAAACCAAATAGTACTTTCAATCTTTAGTGATATCTTTAACAATTAAGCAACATAAAAAAAACTCAGGTGAAAACAACGGCCCTCACTGTGAGTCTTTTGTTTAGTGGGGTAGGGAAAGGATGGAAATCACAGCCCAGAGACAGTTGATACCTGTCTGACTGCTACAGAAAGCACTGTTTTGACATGGACACTGGTTGTCCATTCATTTCCCACTTTCTCTGGAAACACAGCTCCCCTGCTAAGTTCAGAGTATGTCCTGCCTTGCAAAACAGAGCCTAGACTATGGCTTGTCAGTAATTTCATGTCACATTTTGTAATGTATTATTCTAAAACACATATCAAGGCTCTTCAGTTGGCAGCTCTTAACTGATAAAAAAGTCCCTCTTACAGCAGACAATTAAATAGCCAGCAAAAAATCAACTGCTCTTCCAAGACTTTAGGAATCACTGTAACATTGTCAAAGCTGATAAACATCAGGTTTTGAGCAGTTTGCAGGCAACACTTCTTGACCCTCCCAATAGCAACAATGTCCCTCCCCATGCCAGTTCTCTACACTGGGATGGGGCTGATCCCATCAGGGTCCTCACATGAAACACCACAGTGAGTGGGGAGGAATAGAAAAAAAAAAACAAACCCAAGTGATTCTGCACAGGCCCCCTCAGCTGCAGGAGGCTGGTTCTTGCTCTAAAGCATTCACAGCTTGCAGTAACTTTGACAACACAGAAAACACTTCTCAAGTCTTGGCCTGTTAAACTAATCAATAATTTTGTATAATATAGGAAACAGAGCTTCCTGCCCCTTCCAAACCATCGTAAAATGGTAGATTACTATTTATCCAAGAAAGCTGACTTGAGAAAAATATTTCTGGAGTTATCTTCATTGCTATAAAACTCCTGAAAGTTTTCTGTTCTGCATTACTGCTATAATGGACTTTTTTGTGTTAATCCTGTAGAAAACACTCAACAGATCAAAACAACGGAGCACTGCAGAGCACAGTGATTGTGACACCTCTCTGACCTCCACACAGGTATTTTTTCAGCTCTTAACTTTTGCATACAGAGGGAGAGAGATACAGGAAATACTGAGCTTACAAGTATGTGAATAGAAACTTGACTCACCACAGTCCTTTGCTTATTGGGCAGGAAGACTCTAACAATAGGCTTCTGTGGAGACTTGGGGTTATTCCGTGACATATCAGCAGGGTTTTGATAAACTGAAAGGGATGAAGGTGCTACAGAGAGGCTAGAGGAGGAAGATGATGCAACTGTGTCTGTTGAAGCTGAACTGGAGACAGAGAAATCAGTTCCATTCCCCATGGACTCCAGTAACTGCTGTTCTCTCTGCTGCAGAGCATCAAGCTTGCTGGTGTACTCTTCATAGGCCTGGGGAGGAAGAGCAGCTGTTTTAACCACGGAGTAGCCTCAGACAAAACCAGAAATCTAAATTCACAACAAACATGAAACAAAACACTTTCTAAACCAGATTTCTCAGGAATATGAACACAATAGTCTGTTTAAATGTTTCAGGAGGACACAATGAAGAAACAGCTCTCGATACATTATTTTAAACCTTATGAACCAACAACTAATGTTTTAATTAAATGGATCAATGGATAAAAGAAATTGTAAGTTACAGCTTCAAAGTACCTGCTCTACAGAGTCTAATTCATAACCACTTTAAAAAAAAAAACAGAAATCTTTCACAAATGTTGTCAGCTGTGTTGCTGAATTACTGTGCTCCAGATAAATTTTTCATTCTGTTGGAATGACAGCTAAATACATCTAATGCAATAATTAAGAGAAAGCTCAAATCTGCTTTTTACCATCTATATCTGATAACTCACCCAGTTCACTGTTCACCATCCTGCCCCTCTAGCACTGTCCTTTCATACCAAATAGTACAAAAAACTTCAGTTAGAAAATACCAGTTTGTCCTGTTTAAGTCATTCATAAACACATAAAAGTGATTCTTTGAAAGAACTTTTTTAACACCTGTATAAGATCAATTTGATTTTCCACAATTTTATGTAAAACCTAATTACACAGTGACCAAGTTTTTTAAACAAACAAAAGAAAAAACCAGTATTATTAAATTTTCCCATTAAGTCTTTATTATATGTAGTCAAGTCAAACATTATTGCCAAGACCTATAATACAAACACATAACCAGTATATATTTTTCTTTAAATTCTGTTTCCCACAACTTCGTAACGTGTAAATTTTGATCTGTATCCAAGTATCAGAACAATTCCTTCAGTACATAATTTAGTACAGAGTACCCTCAAAAACCTGAATCAGTTAAGTAACGTGTTTCACACTACAGATACTGGCTATTGGGCAGTGTTAGCCAAGCACATGTTTAGATCTTTACAGAAAAGAAGAAGCAAATATCTTCCAAACCTAACACTTAAGTAGTGGGGAATCTTCTACTTTTCTCTATAGTAAGATCTATACAAAGTTGCATAAATTTTTCAACTATATTTTCAAGTATATTTACATAAAAGAAAGATACCTTTTGGTTCTGTTTTTATTTATCTGCTCTCCTAAAATTTTCTGTGCATAACATATTGCTAATTAAAGTTACAGGAGAACTGAACTGACCAACAAGTGTCAGTAAGGTCTACATGTGGAGAAAAAAAAAAATCAAATCAAGAGAAAGAATAACCAGCATTCAGTAGTACAGGCACAAGTACTACATTTTACTAGGAATTTATTTCTCTGGATTCTATGTGTAGGGTCACCTAAACCAAATTGGTTTTGTTGAATGAAAGAGCAGCTGGTCCCTTGCTTTTTATGAAAGTTTAGCATCCTCCCAGGATGAACCTCTGCTCAAAATGTATCATCGACCCCACAACGTTAACAAAGCAAATGATAATTTGACAGCGAGGACTAAGAAAGGAAAAGCATTTTAATGAAGGGTGGTGAAGATCAGTTTAAAATTCTAAATTTTATGGGTTCCATCTTTAATAAATGGGCATATGTTCAGAAGCTGAAAACTACTTACTATTTCCTTTAAAAACTGAAGATGTTGGGTATTTCACAAATAGATCCCAAACTCTGAGACTAAAAACCAAAACATTTTCACTCTAGCATCAATTCTACTGTCAAAAGTAAACCGAAAGGTTACCCAACTATAAATAATGGCATTTTTTGGCTGTACAGTAACACAAGTGTGTCTCTTCCACTTCCAGGATCAACTTTTCATGGAAATTCAAGTAAAAGTTCCATGTGTCAAGAATAATTTTCAGTAAACAAAAATTAAGAAACATAAACTGTTACCATTTCACCAATAGTTTTCTAAATACTTACTTCCTTTTCTCATGAACGTTGCAAAATATTATTTGAACACACGCAACATTACACTGGTTCCGGATACTTGTGGGTTTAGTTCCTTCACAAAATTACACACATCTTTCAAAATACTCAATCCTACAATGTTTACCCTGGCAGCTTGATCTGTCAGTAATGCAAACTCAAAGTCAAATGATTTATCTTAAGAGAATAAACAGTGAGTATGGAAAGCTGGGAGCTGCTGCTGGCTTTGAGTTCTATACCAGTAACTTCTGCAAAAAGCTCTCCACTTCTTATGAGGACAAAAGCTCTCACGTATCATACTGTTATCTGCTGTCATAGCAGAAGATCCCATAGCAAAACATAACAGAACTAGAAATGCATTGGTAGACTTTAAATATATTTTCCTCTTTAAAAAATCCCCACCTCTTTCTATACAGGAGGAGTAACAGTACATGCAGCAGAAACAGAATAGCTCCAATAAAATCTCATTTCACAAAAATTAACTACTTTGGAGAAATACTGGTTTCATCTGGTGGCCCACATCAATAGACCTCACATAGCTAACAGCACCAAGTCAAGACAGAATTATCCCATGGAGTTAAATTCAAAGAGTACTACAACAGCAAAGCTGACCTATGGCAAGTATTTCTAGCTAAAAGAAAGACGATGTCGCAGCGTTGGCCTGTGTACAAAAGAGACCTGCAGCAGCACAGACACCTTTGCAGACAGACATCAACACCTACACAAACCTTCAAGTCAGTCAAGGCCTTCTGGGTCAACTATGAGGTTTATTTCTGACAGTGTTTTTCAAAAACAAACTAAAAAAAAATAATTAAAATTAAATTTGTGCAGTATCTACAGCATGGAAGAGATTAAGATGAACATTCAAAAAGATCACTAAATGAAAGATTTAAAGGCATTTCAGTAGGGTTTATGAAATCTGGACTGCAATCCCATCAGTTTACATATTCCCATTAAGAAGTGAGTAATGTTCTACATAAAACTTAAACCTTGCTTTCAACTTGATACAGAATCACAGGAGGAAAAAAAAAAAAGAAAAAAATGTTAGAAGGTATCCCTGGAAGTCATCTTGTCCAAACACTTGTTTAGCACGGAAATAATTTTTAAGTTTAATCAGGTTGCTCAGGGCCTTGCCAAAGCAAGTTTTGAAAGTCTCAAAGGAGGGAGAGCTCACAGCCTCTGGGCCACCAGTTACAGAGCTCAAAAATCACTCTCATGGCGAATTTTCTCTGATGAAATTCACTTGATGCTGTGACGTTGCCTCTTCCCCTTTTGCTGTGAATGTCTGGAAGGAGGGTGGCCTTCTCTTTAGGTTGAAAGAGCCTGCAGATTCCTCCTGAACCTTCTCTTCTCCATGCTAAACACCCCTCCAGTGCGGCCCCACAAGTATCAAGTAGCTGGGTCCCTCTTCACGCTGGGCCCAGTGTGCAGTTTGCTGCCGGGACCGTGAGAGGGGGTCACTGACAGCTCAGCTGGCTCCCAAATTAGCGTGAATTTCAAAGTTACAGTATTTCACAAAGGTAAGTGAAATACTTGAAAAGCTGAATATCAGACTCAAATTGGTACAACCTGTTGATCTACACATAATTTAATGGCTATCAAAAACAGAACAAAAAGTTAATTTTAATAATATTGCCTATCAGTATATATGCACATCATATAATAGTCTCATACGGGCGAGAATACTCCTGAGACTTCATCTAAGTAAAATGCATAAAGGCCTGATAAGCTGCCAAGTCCAACTAAAGCCTTTCAAGGTGGCATGTTTATATACAATATGTATACATGCCAAAATACAACTGCTGTTGTATTCTGCTGTGTATATTCTGCAGCATATATCTGCTGTGTATATTCTGCAGTTGTAACTGTTGCATATATTCAGGAGCAGCAGCCTAAAAGTTACTTCCCAAATGTTGTAACCTACTAACAAAATAAAAACTGACCTCAGAAGTCAACAGAATTTGAAAGACGTTATACAGATGTGCCAACAAAGTTGTCTTGATAAGATGAGGACAAGGGATTTTCTCAAAAGTATGTGGGTATTTTTCTTGCATTTCATTTGTATTATATTTGAAATTTGCTTTCTTGGGGCATGAGCAGACTATACACTCTAATAACATCATGTAGGGATATGAAAAGCAACAAGTTAACTTTTTTTCCTTAATTAATCTGGGAGAAACCCAAGTAGCAAAATATGATTTCTCCTTCTCTCTGCTCTCTACCACATCTGGTTAGAAAGCCAGTCTCAACTGAAGCAGACCAATTGGCTTTACCTTCTCTCTCTCTTCCTCAACCAATTTTAGATAATACACACTGCAAGACTCTTACAAGCCTAAACTACAGGTTCCTGGTCTTTGAAACTGAGACTGTTTCTATTTAAAAGATGACTGACCTTTTAGGCTGTTGATTAAACGCAAATCCCACTAACTTAAACGGGAGCTGAAGATAGACAGTAACATACGTCACGATTTCTTCATTTAGTAAGACTCCTAAATCTGTACTTAGTCTAACTTTAGACACTCCAGTTTTGGTCTAACATATTTGAACAGCATCTGTTAGGAGCCTGGTAAAAATCAATCTGAATTTCCCCAGAGGGCCACCAGGTTTCCCAGTGCCTGTATGCAGCGTTAGCATTTTCCTGGAATACCACGGTCTGAAACAACCTGAGATTCATCACTAAGATCTGTTTCAGACTGTATCTGCCTGCTGTTGCAATGAGCATACTTCAGATCAGTGAAGAGGAAGTCTTCTTTAATTAACTAATTTGACCTCCTGAGTGGATTCTTCAGATATGCAGGAATAAGGAATTAAATACTCTACTGATATTCAACAGCCAAACTCCCCAAAACAGCAACAGCAACAACTCTGAACAAAACATGCCCAGGAAAAGAGAAAGCTAGGACAAAAACAAACAAAAAGTCACAGTAGTTGGGGCAACCATACCCATGATTCTCATTTTAAATTGCTTCCAAGAGTATGAGTAGGAAAGAGCATGATTCCTTCAAGACAAAGTTGACTGAGCTTATTTTGACACCACTATCATTCTATGCATTTGTATACGGTTTTAT